CTAGGAAAAGCCAGATTAACTGCATCCCTGAAGAAAAGACGCTGCTAAACACAGCCCATTGATTGAAAAAGGGAGTCTCAGGTATGGAAAGAAACCAAATAGCAAGACCCCTGAAAATGGAACAGAAAGTGCTTGGAAGGGTAGCCCTCAGGACTGCCAAAGGTGCAGGTCAGCAAACTCGAGGGTTGGCGTGTAAGAGCAAGTGTGGAATGTAGTGCAGGATAGAATCTGACTGCTGCCTCAAGCAATGCAGAGAGCAGTTTAGGAGCTAAGGATGGCATGCTGGGTGATGCTGAAAGCAGGCTTGGAGCTGAAGCTGATGCACCAGGCAATGCTGAGAGCTGAGCCAGAGTAAAACACTGCTGCCAAAAACAGTCCACCGGTTGGAGGGAGCCTTGGGTATGGGAGAAACTAGAGAGCCTCCTGAGACAGGGGTAAAAACAGATTTGAAGGGCAGGCTTCAGGCTGAAAACTGCTGCGCAGAGCCTAGTGGAGACATGAGGTTACAAACCGACGCACAGCCTGTGGGTCAGAAAAAAAGGAGCCTTGGGTACGGAGAAACCGAATAACGAACCTCCTGAAAAAAGGGGAACACACAGGTTAGAATAGCAGTCTAGGCTACAGCTTCTGCACAGAGTGAAGTGCTGTCTTGCTCACCAGAGATACAGTATGTAGAGAGTGGAAGCAGCAGGGCCGGTGAAAACCCGGGGTGAAGTGAAAAAAAACGGTGCCTCGGCATTAAACAGAAAACTGGGAATTGCGTAATAAGTACAAAATTGCTAATTAACACGGATCACGAAAAAGGGGACCCAGTGACAGCAGCATACACCTGAAAACCGTAAGCCCTCGTGGAAATGAGACGGTTTTCCAGGTCAACAGCTAGCCAAAGGACGCTGTCATGACACTGACCTGTTAAACTTTGTTTTCTCTGTCATTGAGCTCTGACTTGCAACCAATGTTCCTGTTTCCTGATGCGGTTTTCCCTTGTATGGCATCTGGCATTATGATTTTTTGACACTGTTCCCCTTGACACATTAAATAATTTAGAAATTTCTGTGACTGCAATTTGGCCGCCAACTATTTAACCCCTTTATAAATCTGTTCGATATCTCATGGTGCTTTAGAAACACATATTAAAGTGTTGATTTTAAGATGTCTTTTATTGTGGAAACAAATTGGTAATTAGTATTGAAATAAATGTGTAAATACGTGCAAACACATATGTAGAATTCTTTTAAATTGTGATTTAGTTACTTTAAAATAAAAGTCAATTATACGTTAGGTGTTTCCATTATTTTGTCCACCCCCTGTACAGTATATAGAACTAATACTAAAACACCCTATACCCAGGGTGCAGGGAATAAAACATACAGTACTGGATCTGACAATTGTGCCTGTGCACAAATAGACAGTAGCTGCGTTTTGTAATGCAAAGTGGTCCCAGTAGAATAAAGCTGACAAATTTAACCTGAGGCTGTGCTGCCATGTCACTGCTGTCATCCCCCAGTGCTGCATTCTCCATGTTCATTCTTGTCACTGTCTTTTCCTGAGATACAGTATCTGAAGGATAGTCTTCAAGAGGGCAGTAGGGAACCTACATTACGTAGAGTGGAGGGAGAGACTCAGAGAAAACTGATCAAGTGTCCACAGCATGCTTCTGTTAAGCATATCTGACAGCACAGTTAGGATACTCAGTGAAGCAAATGTGTTTGGTAAACTCTGTGGATTATTAAAGAAACCACACTTCATGCTAATATGAATTGAAAACTACACAGATTCGATTTAGACCGAGGTTTGTAGATTAACACCCTAAAAAATCATCAGAGGGACTGTCAGCAATTTCTGTCAAAGGCCTGTTCCAATAGCAATCTCCATGCAATTCAGGAAGCAATATAGTGAAGTACAGAGCCTGATCCATCATCTGATAGATTCATAATTCAATTTTCAAAATTTTTCCAAATTATGTATGATCTGTAAGAATTTAAGCCAAGGGACTGGTTTAAAGAAAAGAGGATTTGGAATGTACAGAGCTGATGAACTGAATACATGAATTTCAGATGTAAAATAGGGCTTTGAATTACTTCACTTTGTAGAGCTCTAATCTGTTTTAATTGAATTAACCCATTCCCTGCCAGCAACCACCACAGTCAAATAGAATGCTTTGATATGATGCATGTGCAGTAGCAGTTTCCCATCCATAGTAAATGCCCTTGCGTACATTGATATCTTGACCCACAGCATTGCAGTAATGAAACAGAGGTTTGGAGCCTTTAGAGAAACACTGGAGAGCCCACAGGGACTGACAACTCTGCTTTGGACAGCCATGTTCCTGTGTCAGCAGCATTCCTCTGTATATCACTGTATGATCCTCTCTGTCATTCCTAACTGGTGCTATTATTTCCCCATTCCCAAAAATGTCAGCAAAAGCTTAAAGGAACAATCAGTCTATCAAGGCAGGAGAACACTGGAGACACAATCAAGCATGAGAGACTGGCATAGTGTTGGTTCTCTGCTATGCACATGCTCTCTCACCACAGGGATGTTGTTCTCTATAAATTACTCATTTAAGGGGATTGGAATCTCTCTTCTACAATGGTCTGAGTATGTTCTTATAGCACCATAGAGTATTCATAAGAGTAGTAGTTTTAAAACGTTTGGTTTGTCAGCACTACTGGCAACCATCATCCCAATACCAAAGAAAACCACAGTGACATGTCTTAATGACTACCGACCAGTGGCACTAACACCTGTCATCATGAAGTGCTTCGAGAGGCTGGTCATGAAGCACATTAAGGACACCTTCCCAAACACAGTGGACCCATACCAGTTTGCCTACCGGTCCAACAGATCCGCAGATGACGCAATCTCCATTGCCACACACACGGCACTATCCCATCTGGACAAAAAGAACACATACACAAGACTACTATTCATCGACTACAGCTCAGCTCTTAACACTATCATCCCAGAGAAACTAGTCAAGAACCTCAGTGCACTGGGTCTCAACACCACCCTCTGCAACTGGATTCGGGACTTTCTGACAGGCAGACCACAGGCTGTCAGGCTTGGAAACCACAACTCTATCATCAAGTTTGCCGATGACACCACAGTTGTAGGTCTGATCACAGACAATGATGAGAGGGCCTACAGGGAGGAGGTCAATCTCCTTACAACATGGTGTTTTGACAACAACCTCACCCTCAACGTCAGCAAAACCAAGGAGCTGATCGTTGATTTCAGGAAACTGCAAACCGGACATGCCCCTATCCACATCAACAGGACTGAAGTGGAAAGGGTCAGTAACTTTAAATTCCTTGGTGTCCATATCACCTAGGACCTCACATTGTCTCTCAACACCACCTGTCTGATCAAGAAAGCGCAACAGCACCTGTACTTCCTAAGACGGTTGAAGAAGGCTAAGATATGTCCCCAGATCCTCACTAACTTTTACAGATGCACTACAGAAAGCACACTGACAGGCTGCATCACAGTGTGGTATGGCAACTGCAGTGCTGCTGACCGCAAAGCCCTACAGCGGGTGGTGAAAACTGCCCAGTCCATCACTGGGGTTACCCTCCCATCTATCCAGGACATTTATAACAGGCGGTGCTTGAGGAAAGCTCTAAGCATAATCAAAGACCCCACACACCCCAGCTACAGACTTTATGATCTGCTACCATCTGGAAAACAGTACCGTAGCATTCGGGCCCGGACTACCAGACTCAGAGACTTTACCCCCACACTATCAAACTGTAAAATTCCCAGCCTCTCTCACTCTCACTCTCACCTCACCTCTCACCTATGATCTGAACCTCACAGTGCCTTCTTCCTTTCTTTCTTACCAAAAACCCAAACACACATTGAAAATCTACCTCTACCATACATGTCAAAAGCTCACTCCCCATAATTTCTATCCCTTTATTTTATTCTGTTCATGCATATTTGTGCACATAACCTGTTACCTTTTTGTTGTTTTGCACATTGCCTGTTGTTGTTTTTTTTGCACATCGTCTGTTGTTGTTTTTTGCACACTGCCTGTTGTCTCTGACTTTCTTTTGCTACACAATTGTATTGTTGTTGTTTTTTTTCCTCTTTGTACTACTTATGTCCGAGAGCTAGCTAAATAGCATTTCGTTACAATATACCATGTATATGAGTGCAATGACAATAAACTTGAAACTTGAATAGATTTTGTGAAAACACAAAGCAAAACACAGAGTATGCACAAACAGAGCAGTGTTTAGTAGGTGTGTAGTCTGTGCAGGGCCTGAAATGTAAAGGTGTTGTGGGAATTCCATGATGCTGTGAGACAGGATGTGCTCACTTTAATAAAACAAGGTTCTGTAGGAGATTGCAGTATGTAAATGAGAGGGATTGAGACATGCTTTCAAAAAAATAAGAATCAAACTACCAATGTGTACTCTATCAAATGCATAGTGATGCACTGCTTGTTCCTGGGGGAGGAGCTAGTATAGAAAGCAGATGATTGATGTGTAGCACAGCAACATGAAGACATACTGTAGATCAAGGCTTAGGTACCATAAGATTTCACTGTGCTGAGAGTATGGAGAATGTGTTACATTATTTAAAAACACTGCAGATACCAGAGAAGACCTTCCCATCTTGGAAAATCTTTTCTAAAAGCAAAACAAAAATCCCATATTCCCACACAGTTAAAACAAGTTAGTTTGGCACGTGAATATTAAACCACATTTCATGTGGGGATCAAATCTTAAGAATTCAATTATTTTTGTTTGTACTGATTCTCACACATTCTTTCCAACCTGACCGACTTGAACTAGACCTATAATTTCAGCATAATCTTCGGGACTGTGAGTGTGTCCTTTATGAGAATATGCCTTCCTTAAATGCAATCAGATGCTGAGAGACCTGTAATTTATTTTTTCCATGATCAGAATACAATGGTTTAAAGTCGTGATAACATGAAAGAGGGTAGAGAAAAAAGAGTAGAGAGTATTCTGCAGCTGTGCTGACTGTACCTGTGCATCCATCAGTAGGTGTCTCATCAAGGTCATAGACTTCTTCAGTGTCTCCTTTTCACTGGGAAGGAAAGCATCATCCTCATCATCCAGAGCCTTGGGTCTGTTCACCATGAAGTGGGCGATCTGGTCATTCAAGCTGTTGAGCGACTGCACAGCTGCAGAAAAACAGACACACAAGTCACACCTGCTGGAACTGTCACTGGACACTGGTGGAAAAACAGACACTTGTGCCCTTTGGACTTTCCTTGATCTGTAACTTCTGCTGCTGCGCTGCGAGTCATCCATTGCTTTTAATTGTGATGGAACCTTGATAAAAGCAAATAAACTTTCTAATAAGATTAGCTATTTAAAATAAACTTGAAGGAGCCTTGATTATTTAATACAATCTGTATGTTTTTTTTATTTTTGGGGAATCTAAATGTCGATGCCCTGTTACAGTGGTTCGCAGCCTTTGGTCTGTGAAGCTACTTCATGAGAGCCACAGAACAGAAAAATGTGCTGTGGAATCAAATGTTAGACTAAAACTGTCATTACAGGCTGTAACACAATCAGCACAAATTTTTCATTACTCAAACTTGATAACAGTCTTTGAAGTGAGAGATACAGCACCAGCTATTTCAGTACTACAGTATGTTACTGATCATTCACATATTCATACACTAACACTGTTAGACTTCACTAATATATTTGTTCAGGTAATGAATAAGAATTTCACATTATATGCTTACAGGCACATTTTTGCTGAGTGCAGATTTTTTTTTGTTATGGTTGAAAACAGCCAGTAGCACATGGTCCACACTGTACAGGAATGTACAGTAAGTGTGTCCTTCAGGAGCTAAACTGTTTGAAGCATTCTGAGGTGGCATTCATCATGGCAAAGCACTATATTGATTGATAGAGGAAAAGTGCTAAATACAATAAGTGACTCTACAGTGCAGCACACATGACTGGACTATCTCCTGGCGAACACCAGAATATAATTCTAGCAGGGTCCCTTAGCAACATGTAGGAAAATGCTGTGGCTGTTTAATATTGGTCATTGTTTTCATTCACTTCACTAATTAAAAAGGGGAAATAATGAATGACTGGCTCATCTGGACAGTTAATGGCTTATTGATCTCAGCTCTGAATCAGGCAGTAACGCAATTTCAGTGTTTGTGTACAAGACATGGCTCACTAATTAGTTCTACACACCCACAGCTGCAAAAGCTCAGATAAGACTCAGACATGCACTTCACAGCTCATGACATGTGGATTGGGCAGGTCTGTAATAAGGAGCATGTGGTTTCATGGACAGCTGAGAGAGCACATGGAACATTTTAAACCTCTCATAATATTGACACAGTAACTGGGAGTTATCCAGAGGATATGCACCATAAATCATCAAGAGGTTGATTCAACTGAGACATCACAGGTGTGAGCAATCTGGTACAGAGCGCTGTAAAATGAGGCAGTACTCTACATAAAGAAAAACACTAAACTTTGTCTCATCTTTTTTTTATTGTAAGATACAAAAGGTGCAGAGAAAATGTACCTTTCCTGATGCACTCTTTGTTAATAGTATTTATCATTTTGCAAATCATCCTCTTCATGTACTTAATCTAATGACATCCAGATTACACAGTTCATAGCAAAACTTTCGCTACACCATTAACATTCCCATTTCCTGCATCTCTGAGAAATCCAATGGGAGAGAAAATGACAAGATTTGACAGATGTTTCTTTTTCCGCCAGCAGCCATATCACCCTGCAACTCACAACTGGCAGCCCACTGATGCTTAGCAGGTGTGAGCCTGGTCAGTACCTGGATGGAGACCTACTGGGAAAAACTAAGGTTGCTGCTGGAAGAGGTGTTAGTGGGGCCAGCAGGGGGCGCTCACCCTGCGGTCCATGTGGGTCCTAATGCCCCAGTATAGTGACGAGGACACTATACTGTAAACGGGCGCCGTCCTTCGGATGAGACCTAAAACTGAGGTCCTGACTCTCTGTGGTCATTAAAAATCCCAGGGCGCTTCTTGAAAAGAGTAGGGGTGTAACCCCGGTGTCCTGGCCAAATTTCCAATTGGCCCTTACCAATCATGGCCTATTAATAATCCCCCTCTATGAATTGGCTATATTACTCTCCTCCCCACCGATAGCTGATGTGTGGTGAGCGTTCTGGCGCACTATGGCTGCCGTCACATCATCCAGGTGGATGCTGCACATTGGTGGTGGTGGAGGGGAGTCCCCATTACCTGTAAAGCGCTTTGAGTGGAGTGTCCAGAAAAGCGCTATATAAGTGTAAGCAATTATTATTATTATTATTATTTCAAGGAATCCGCTTTTCTGGAGCTCTTGAGCATTAGTGTGCACAAATAAGGATGTTTTGTAATGCATGAATATCATCCAAGGGAGAGCTGTTGCCTTTTCCTTTCTGAAATCAGCTCAGAGGCCTCCAAGACGGAAAAACTAAAAGGTCCATTTTCTTGGTGTCAGTTTTCCATACTGTGCTCAAATCTGTCTCCATAGCTCCTTGACCCCAATGTGGCCTTTTCAATTCGGTACTTCACCTGCAACACTGACCTGTTGCTGAACTTCGCAGCTCAATCACACTCTTTTGTCTCTGTCTCTAAATCTGATCAATTTGGAATGCAGACCAAAAGAGTAGTGAAGGCACAGCATCAGTGCAATATGATTTTGAAGGGCTGGTAACAAGAAAGAAATACTTGCTTTTCCTAAAAACAATCAAAACCACTGTGTTGCACCAACACATTCTAAACATATACAGTATAACTGAACATCCTTATTAAGCAAAAAAAAAACAAGACAGGAAAATCAATAATTAGAAGATGAACGGAATAATTAGAAGATGAATTTCTTTCTTGTTACCATCCCTGTTATCATCCCTTTGAAATCCTATTGCACTGGTGCTGTGCCTTCACCACTTCATTAATACAAGTTGAAAGAAAGAGTGAAATACTTACATCAACGTTATCTACTGTAGTCTATGATTTTATTATTTAGAACTGCAAATAATTTTCCTCTTAAAGTGGCCAATTCACTATTTACTATTTATTTTTATTGTTCTCCTCTGCAACCCTGAGTTAACTAGAGCAAACTTCAGTCACACTGAGACATGCTTATATTACATGCACACATGCTTACACATTTCCACTTTTTCTTCCACAGTGTCGAAGGCTGAAGTTAATAGGGAAGTAAACTTACAGTATCTAGCATAGGAATCCCTGTACTCCTGCAAGGAAAGGAACTCCGATTCAAAGTCTCCTGCATTCTGGTAGTTCTTAGTCATCAGCCAGAAAATGCAGAAAGATGCAGGTAGTGAAGGATTTCTCGTTTAGTTTTTGACTTGTAAGAGTTCCGAAGCTGCATTTGCCCAAGTGCCAATTGTTTTGGAGAAAATGAAGGGAGGTTTCTGTGAATTCCAGGGGACAGTGACAAAGTCACTTAAAAATTCACTGCAGTGCTGTTTTATTGTGCTTTGTGGAGTGGGGACACAATTTTGGAGCTTAGATGAAAGCTCCGCTTTTAATGGAATTCGTAACTTAAGTTTGAGAAAAACGATTAACTTTCAGTCACACCAAACTAAGTAAATATACTGTACAGGTAACAAATATCCCTTTTCCCCATGTTCTGTGTATCTCTCTTTCCACCCCATCATTGTGCTTCAGAAGCTCCTTACCTGAAGCTTGTGAGGTGTTTCTGTGGTGTGTTTCTGATTGCGTTGCCCGTTGTTAAGCCTGCTGCTGTTCACTCAGCTATGTGGGACAAAACTTTTCTAAAATTTCTCATAGCTAACAGATTCCCTGTGGAGACCTACAAGTGCCTGTTAACTGCAGACAATGAGAGTGAATTTGCAGTGATCCCAGCTCAGCAGTAAAGACGGTGACACTGCAAGAAAAAGGCTTTCGTGTTCATAGGACAGCCGGACCATCAACACCTCTCTTTCATGTTCTCTCTCAACCTGTAACGCAGTGCCAACAGACCATGTGGCTCCACATAGGCAATGTTACAGTGTGTACACTTAACACCTGAGTGGACAGGAGTCAGTCTGCACCAGTGCAGTTTGTGTTGCACCACAAGGCATGTCTGCTGGCTGCTCTGGTGAAGATTAATTGGTACTGTACTTGAGTACTGTACCTTTATACAGTGCAGGTGTTTTGAAACTAGAGTTACTATACAATGAACATACAATCTGAACAGCAGAACAGCAGGATAGTTTTATTTTCAATGTTGTCACTATGTGGCCTTTCGTCTTATTTATTCAGATAATGTCTCAATCTAGTTTCATGAGGGTATAACCACTGAGAAACAGCATCATTGTTACAACTGTTTAAAAAAACAGATTCAGAGAGTTTCCTGGTGATGAGAAATAGTGAAGTACAGCTTTGACAGGCCCCTTCAAATTTTCTCTGAAACCGTTGACAGTACCATTAAAAGATAATTCAAAGGATTTTTTAAAATAATGGTTTGTGTAGCAAAAAGAAAAAATATATATCTATTCATGCATCCTGAAAGAAATCTTAAAAAAACAAGGTTTGAATGTAATTTGGGAAGACAAATGCTTGAACAGTCTTTTCTGCCATACGGTATTTTTTGAGCACTGATAACACTTTATAGTAAGACACCTACAGAGCTGTGAGAAAACATGTGGGCTTGTGAGATAAACCTCATAAAAATAATTAATACACATGAACAAAAAAACAGAAGGCTGTAATATCTGCCATTCAAGAGATCCAGCATTACAGGCTCATTCTACTGCTGGCAGATGCAGGTATATGGGACAGGCAACTCAGTTATTGCACTCTGTGTCTTTTTAAGACCTGCCGCAAACCTCACTTATGAATCAATGGTCACTGCAGCAAAAATAAGAAATAACAGCAGCTGGAAAGCTTAGGTGTGGCTTTCTGGAGAGGTGCCTTTATTTTTCTAATTTCAGTTTATCAAGCAGAGAGTAATTTCAGTGCGAAGAGTAAGGGCTTGCAAAGCACTCTCCAGCAGAAATCACAGGTATTACACTCAGCAGGGGCAATCAGGCACCTTCTGCCGTGCCAGTTTCTTCATGGCTGCAGACAACAACAGCTAATAACCAGGAACTGAGGCGCAGCACCATTTGTTAATAGGGGTTTACTGCATTTCAACCAGTCAGGGCTGACAA